TATTTCTTAAGGTACCTTTAAAATTAGAATGAACACAGACAATGAATATTTAAGTCTTGGAGAAAATAGCTGCTGGCTTTTGTGAGATTGCAACGTTATGTTTTGGCCTATTGAGCAGAGAGCTTTTTTAGGTTATACGTGGCAGATATACCTCACTATCCTCACAGAACATCCTATAAAGTCCAATAAAGATTAAAGCAATAAGGTTTCTACAGGAGTTAAATAGGACTCTAGAGAAATAACTTTAAACACTAATAGCCTTTTCATAGAGCTCTACAGGACTGTATAAGTACTTTTAAAGTGCACTGCGCTTGCTGTTACATATTTCCCCTTCAAAGCAGAAGGATATGGCTGTAACTGAACAGGTCAAAACAGCCAGCCAAGTGACGACTTTCAAGAACCAATGCCAAATCCTATTTCCAGTCATTTTCAAGCAGGAAGAAGTGTTCAATCAGTGCTAAGCACTACTGAAGGCACACGTCTGCCTGTGTACGCACGGATGGCTGCACGCTTGCACAGAAATGCATTCAGACTAGAGTTTGCCCATAATAACGCCACTATCGGACCCAGCGATTTCAATAACATGGCTTCCAAGAACCTTCATTGTCTTCAGATCCCACAAGAAATCTCTTCAAGAAAACAGCTGGACCAGGACAAAGGACTGGGCCTTCAGGCTCTAAAGAAAATGATATTTTTAAACTGTTGCCATAGAGCTTTCAAAGCATGCATGAGTCCATCACTAATACATCCACTCCACTCATTTTCTCAACTTACACGTTAGGCCAAGAAGTTTAATCTATGAGGCTTTTGTGCTTTGCACAAAATAAACTTTACCTTGTGCGTTAAGGTCATTAACTGGAATGAGGAACTCCAAAGATACTTAATTTTCACTGAAGGCATGACCTAAGAGCCTAAGGGCTGGTTTGTTGTCACTCTGGGTCTCTTTTCTTCTGAATCCCAATCTTTGTATATAGAGATCACAGCTGGATGATGATCAAAAAAGGTTTTTTGGCAAGCTTTTCACGCCATCTTCTCCACACTTTTGTGCACTCACCTACACAGATTAAGCACCATAAGTGAAATTGGAATGGGTACTCTGAAACCTGATAATGGTTTCAGTATATCCAAGCAGATTTCTTGATACTGATGGTCCATTCCTCACCAGCTGACTTTCAACTGTTCATAACAGTAAAGATAGCCCTTGGATGATGTCTAATTGGTAAGATTTCTCAGTAAACTGCCACTACAGAAGATGCCCAGAGAAAAGCACTGAAATGGGCTGCATAAAAAGAAGTGTGACCAGCAGGTCGAGGGATGGGATTCTCCCCCTCTACTCTGCTCTCCTGGGAACCCACTTGGAGCACTGCATCCAGCTCTGGGGCCCCCAGCACAAGACAAACATGAACCCGTTAGAGCAGGTACAGAGGAGGGCCACAAAAATGATCACAGGGATCTCTCCTATGAAGAAGACAGTGACATTTGGGGCTGTTCAGCCTGGAGGGGAGAAGGGTCCAGGGAAATCCTATTGTGGCCTTTCAATTTATATAAAGGGGGCTTGTCAGAAAGATGGAGATATATTTTTTTTTTTTTCTACCAAGGCCTGAAGTGACAGGACAAGGGGCAATGATTTTAAACTAAAAGAGGGTAGATTTAGATTGGATGTAAGGATGAAATTTTTTACAATGAGGGTGGTGAGACACTGGAACAGGTTGCCCAGAGAAGCTGTGGATGCCCCATCATTGGAAATGTTCAAGGTCAGGTTGGATGGGCCTTTGAGCCACCAATTCCAGATGAAGATGTCCCTGCCCATGGCAGGGGGGTGGACTAGGTGATCTATAAAAGTTCTTTCCAACACAAACCATTCGGAGATTCTATGATTCTATGAAATTGTCCTCTACCTGCAGCTGTTCAAGGTATGCAATTTAAATCTACTATTCATATCTACTATTAATATCTATCTATTTACTGAAAAATTAGGCTGCTTTTATATGAAATCCATAGGCAAATATGGGAGGGCCCTCTGTGCTATATTCTCAAGTGCACAAAGTAAGATCATCATCATACTTTAACAGTCACTATGTTGTGCATATGTACTATGTCTGAAATGTATCCACTAACACATTTTGTCACTCGGTTTCTAATACATACGTGACAGTAGTCATATGCTTCTTTCCTTGAATGGGACTCTGCAGTCAGCTTGCCTGACTACTCAAAAAAAATATAATATTAGTAGAATTTAGAAAGATGCATTATTTCATATATATATATTTTTTTAGGAAATAAATCCTGACGATATGAACGAAACTGAGATAAAAATTATTTGCATATATTATCAGAAAATTACTCTGTGATAGACAATGCAGCCAACTGCTAGGACTTCTGTAATAGCATTTTACTTTGCTCGAAATGCACTGAATGAAGTAGTCAAGAGAAACGGGACAGAGTTAAAAGAAAGGACTTTCTTTGAACCTGAAAGAGGTTCATATGGCAACTGTACAGCTTTCTAATATGGAAAATTGAGATGCAGTATCCTGCTAAAGAATTTTTTAAAATTAGAATAAAAAAGAATTTTGTATGCAAGAATGGAGAAGCTGAACACAAAATATGTACCATATCAAACAATAAGTGCATTGCATTTATGCATTGTAAACACTCATGTTCTTTTTATAAACTTCTCAAAGGTTTGGGGGGGTGGTTGTTTTTTTTAAAGGAAAGTCCTACGTTTTGTAGGCCTCTGAGAGACAGAAAAAAAAAAAGAAAATCTTTTTGGTAGTAATACAGCAAACCTAAAATACAGCAACATGATTTTAGAGTAATACAAGCTATCATAAACATATGATGAGTTACCGGATAGCCATTTCGCCCTGGTAGACCCTGGTTGAATGAGATGAAATGGTATGACACACATTAACAACACAATCATGACATATGACATAACAAACATGCAGAGTACATTACTGGCAACTTATAATTTTGATATCTATTTTTTTTATATGTGATGATATTACAAACCAACAAATACAAAATAGGTACTACATAAGGAAGAAATGAGGCTTTGGCAATGGAAATTATATGTTTTAACTTAAATAAACTTTCTAATTAAAAGGCTACTGGCTACTTCGGATGCTCACTGAAATTCCTTTTGTTATGAAGAGAATTATCCATGTAGACTGAGGGGCAATATGTGGTTAAAAGAAAAAAAAGTTTCAGTGCCCAGGCAGTAAATTATTAGACACATAGGCTACCACTAGAACATAGGTGCCAAAGAAGAAATTTGAGAGAATGCTATAACAGATCACTAAAAAAAAAAATTAAAAAAAAAAAAAAAAAATTGAAAGCACCAGCCTTTGACTTCTATCACATGTGACACTCAGTAGTCATGTACAAGGAAAATAAAGAGAGCACTGCAGCAGCCTTTGAAAATACAACGTACACCTAATTCCATGCAGTGCTATGTGGGATCTACAAATATTTGCTACTTTAAATGAAAATGATTACCACAGTCTCCCAGGTGAAAACAATAACTGAGTTCATAACAGTTGCCCCTAGTCAGACTGTGTCTATGAAAATAAAAAAGTGAACTAGGAACAGAAATTACATTTTTAAATGCCTCATAGCAAGATGAAGTCTTGTAAGTTTTGAATAGGAAACTTGGAATTTTAAGTCAGATACTGCTTAAAATTATTCAGTCTTGGAAGCTATTTCAGGTTTGTATTAATATTGCCACAATCTAGACTTTTTTTTTTTTTAATGGACCGACACTAAAGCAGTAGGGAGCTGAAGTCAACAACGTTCATAGAGGCACACAGTGAACTCTTGCCACGTTGTCTTGCTACAGGAAAATCACTTGTGTCATGATTTATGATTGTTCTTTGTATTTCATGTGAAGACTGCAAAAGAAATTGGGGAAGCCAGTGTTTCCTCCAAATAAACAGCACTGTTACGTATTAAGCCTGGCTTTTCATTGATGGCTTGTTAAATGAATCTGCCACTATGAACTGCTGAGCACATGGTCAAAATCTTTGAACGACAAGTAGTATCACTGCTCAGTATATACAGTTTACAGTAAAATCATTACGGCACAGCAGAAATCCAACATATTAATTCATTATTCTCAAATATGCATGTAGCATAGAATAGACAGATAATCAGGTCCTTAAAATACTGTGGACATGCTATAGCTATCAAAGAAAAAAAACCAATTAGAAGTCTGCAAACACCGTAAAAGAATTACTGTTTTAATGGTCACACTTTTACACCATATGGTACACATAGATGGCATGATAAATACAAATGTTTGAGACGTATGTGTTCAGTCCTGTTCTTCAAGTCAGAATTTTGACCTATCCTGGGAATATACAACAAAGCAAACAAACAAAAACCCCCAACCAAACCCCAAAACAACCATAAAACCCCAGAAGAGAGAAACTGTTTTCTTACAAACAGGATTAGCAGAAGATTCAATCAATTCACTGAACCGAATAGTATTATTTAATATTGATTTTACACAGGCACTTACTGGCTTCAGTAGCAATTACACTGCACTGAGCTGGACCGCCTGTCTATCCCCAAAGAACAAGGAGCCTGTACCCCAAGAGTTTGTGATAGCTGCAAAGGAAGCTACTACCCAGCAAAAGGCAGAGTTACCAAGTCTAGATTTAAGATAACAGACTCGCACATTTTTATACCTCAGTAAAATATCTGTTATCAAGTCATGAGCAAAATGAACATAACATACTTACGTGGAATTGCGATCCAAACCACTATCATCTGGAGCGCTGAATATAAAGCTTTATTGGTTTAGAGACTTTTTTCTTAAGGAACTTTCTGATTAAATTTTTCAGCTCCAAGACAATTAGTGAGTGTTTACACTGTGTAAGTATAAATACCAAAATTCCCTCTTGATGATACATGATCATTTTATCATGGTGATAACTTAACAGGATCTAAGAGATTTCTCCCTGATTCTGGAAGAACCAACAATGTATCACTGTACTTACAGGAGGTCCTGCGGGGCGGGGGGGAGGGAAAAGTAAGCTTATGAAGTTATTAAAGGAAGACACATATGTACGAAGCCAAGCACAAGGCCTCAGGATTGTAAGTGAGCAATGCTGCTAATACACTGTACACGTTTTTCCCACTCGAGTACTTTTTAGTTTTGGTTGTGCTTTGCAACTTTTGAATGTGGTTAATGGCTAAATGCATGCGCTTACCTTACCAATTCTTCAATTACAGTCATGCAATCTTATGCAAGCTGCTTCTCCATCCATTTCCATGCAATTTCATGCCAGTCCAAAAACACCAGCCATGGACTACAATTCATTTTGTCAGACTCCACGTAAAGCACGTGCAACCACATCGCCAGTTGCGGTTAGCCGCACAGTTGGCATTTGATCACAGCTTGGCTGCAAAATTGCACAAAGTACCCTTGGCATTTAACCTTGGCATCTTGTCAAGACATACATGAACCAGCATCTTCCAGCCTTCCAACTTGGCCTCTGAGGGGAGGTTTCAGTGGCCACCTGACAGTGCTGAACTTTCTTTTCATCACCTTCCTTTCTCAAGGCACACATATAAAATGTTCCCTATTAAAATGTCACACTTTGTGAAGTGATATTTACACATTTTTTCAATTATTTAGACTCAAAGACTTTTGTATAGCAGCTCTTGGAAACATTATCAAAGGGCCACAAATCAAATCTACTATTTCAGTCTTATTAAGTTGAGCAGCTGCAGCTCCCAAATCAATGGCATTTCATTAAGCTTTTATGCCTCTCTCTAATTTCTGAATAAAGTGAAGTGCAAAAGGAGTATAAAACAGCAGCAGCTGTACTTTGAGATTGCTTTTAATATTGACAGCCTTTTGGTTTTAACAATGCAATTTTATTGTCCAGTAACTAAGGCAATTTCTTTATCCCAGTAAACATTCTTAAGCAGTATTTTAAGGTGCAGGTCTGTTTTTAAATGAGAGATCAATTTCCTCTGTTAATAGTTTAATATGTGTTTATTTGAGATGTAAAATGAATCGACGAGCATCCTGCAAAGTAATTGCCAGGATCATTTGTGAGACAATCTTCAACCACAGAATTTCTTTCTGTACTGTAGCATTTTTCTCTAAGCTAAATACTAATCCAGCACTGAATGGGAACACCAAGGTGATTTACATTAACCTTTGGCAGGGCTTGGCTTCAGTTCTGTGATGCAGGAAAATATGGAAATAGTTTTTAAGAGCCAGATAAACGATCATTTACAGAGATAAGAAAGGCTACATCAGATTTACAGAGATTAAGTTGATTGGAAGATTTTCCTAACTGGCAGATTAGATGAGAGAGCCAAGGAGATTAGAAATGCTCATTTTCTCCTGCATCGCCTCCAGAAAGTTCACCTTTATGAAAGACTCAATCCCGCAAGGTAATC